TTTTAATTAATAAAATATATTTTAATTTTAAAAGAACTATTTTTTTAAGCAATTTGAAATTAATAAAAAAAATTGTTTCAATATAATTTATTTCAATTTTATTTAATTACATTTTTTATAATAATATATTTAATTTATATAAATTGTTTTAAAATATTTGAATTATTTTAATTAAAATATATAATATTATTATTTTTATTTAATGAATTTAAAAATGTTTAATTATTTTTAATTAGTACGATATACGGTAACTCTACTTTAACTATTTTTTTTGGTAACTTTATTTTAATATAATTTTTTTTTTTAATGATATAATTAATTTCAATTTGCTTTAATTAAATTTTTTATATTAATATATTTAATTGATATTAAGTATATGAAAATATTTGATTAATTTTAATTAAAATATATTACTTTTTCTAATGAATTATAATATATTTATTGTTTTTTTAATTAATAAAATATATTTTAGTTTTTATTGAAGTATTTTTTTAATTTTTTGTTTTTTTTTGGTTTTTATAATACAATTTATTTAAATTTTTATATTAATATATTTAATTTATATTATTTATTTTAAAATATTTGATTAATTTTAATTAATATATAAATTGATATAATGAATTATAAATTATTTAATTGTTTTTAATTAAAAAATATATTTTAGCTTTAATTTAACTATTTTTTAGTAATTTTAATTTAGTATAATTTTTTTTAATTTTATGTTTTATATTATTGTAACATATGGTATTTTAAATTATATAAATTTTTTATTATACGTCATGGATTAATTAAATTAATTATATTTTATTTTAAAACTTTATTACAAACATACACATGAATATATTTATAAATGCTAGTATTAACCACATATTGTCAATTTTAATTATGATAACTGCATTGACGCCTATCATGATTATTGTTCGCGACAATAAGCACGTAATTGTCGTGTATTGTTCGGGGATTTTATACAAGTACCGCTATTAGTAAGTACTAAAATAAACCTATGAAGCATTTTTAACTGGAAGGTGGGTGTAAATAAATTTGGAAAACGTTAAAAGAATTCTTTTTTAACACAAAATTGTCGCCTTTATTAATAAATAATTTTTTTGCTTATATTGTACTTGCAAATTACTTCTAAAAAAATTTTTTTATAAGCAATATCGTTATTAAATCACTCACCCGGTCTAGTGATGCGTCCAACATTGAATCTATGCGTGTAATTGACTTTGAAATAGTTTTCGACGACAGCGCGTTCAGCCTTACCCTCTCCATTTACAGGGGAAAATAAATATTCGGGATCGATTTGATATTTTAACTGTTGGTAGCTGGAAAGCAGAGAGTGAGAAATTATAACAATTTATATGAGGTCATTCTATGATCTATTTCAACTTACCCAGTCATGCAGAGCATTGTCAACAGCACTGGTATTATAATGAAATAGCCAGGATGTTTCGCAATTAAAACGCCCAAATGATAGAAGGATTTATTTAACATTTTATCTACCCAATATATACAGGCACACCGCATCTGTACAAAGAGTGGAAGAAGAGAGAGAGAGAGAGTTATGATAAGCTAAATTTGATTAAAAATATTAGTCAAAATATAGTTTAGTTTGATGATAATTATAATTTTATAGTAATTAGTAACTAAATTTTGTACTGTATGTATGGTTTTGGTGTTTTAGCTTCATTTATTTCAAAAATTAATATATTTTTTCAAAGATAATATAAAAATTGAATTTATATTATTTTTATTATTGTAACCTCAACAGCAATCTCTTTTATCTAAGTAATTTGTAATTACATTACTTCAAATTTGAAACCTTTTGGAGTTGAATTTTTCAGCACGTTTTCAATTGTATCTTCTATTGTCTACACTTCACAAGTGCAACACGTTTGCGCACAACCAAATAATTTACATTAGAAGGCTTGATTCCGCATTGAATTCAACTAACAATACCCATTGCCTGCTATTTAGTTGAAAGGTCCTCAATTATAGGCGCTAAATGCATAGATTTCAAGTCTGAGCTACGCGCCCTTTAGCGAGACATGAGCACGCACCGACTGGCGTAACGAACGATGCCGCTAGAGACTTCGTGTCATCAGTGTCATCATTTAGTGACTCAAGTGCCATGATAATGCTATTTTTGTGATTTTTTTATAAACACAAGGACGTTTAAAAAATATTTTTATATTTCTATGTACATGAGAGTGTAGACCTCGATGTCTAAATTGAATGGAGCGGGAAATCGTTGACTCAACTAATTGAGTAATTGTCATTAAATAAGATCAGTTATTGTGTAGTGTTCACCTATGGCACATAGACATAAATGTATATTGGCATGAACTGTATGTATGTGTACATTGAAGCCCTTTAGGGAAACTTATCGACTTTATACATTTGACCACGTTTAAAAATTGACCCAAAATTGCTTTATAAAGCTTAAAAAGATAGTAAGAAGCTCTTATTCCTATAAATTGTATACGAAATATTCCATAATAATTACTCGTTTTTGTGCCTTACGGCTTGAAGTTGGCTGCAAAAGCGGAAAGTGAAAAATTGCGCTTGAAATCACTGAAGTTTGATAAAAAAAAATGTAGAGGTAGCTGCATATATTGCACCCAGAACTGTCATCTCTCTCAATTTTGGATTCTTTAGATCCCATAGCCGATCTCTAGGAGACCTTCGAAAAAATGTATCTGGCGCTGAGCAAGAGTTTTCTGCTGGAAATTATCTCAAATCAATATATCAAAAAAATTATTATTACAATAGACGAATAGAGGCAATAATCGAACTCTAGTCAAAATTTTGATTTTCAGAGTGGCTTAAAAGTCGAAATTATTATCAAAAATCTTATTTCTTCGATCATTAGCTGAAATCGTATCTAAGAAGATCATGTGTAATTTCAAGTCGATCGGTCCAGCTGTGTCATTAATGCTATTTTTGAGCTAAATTTCAATGGCAATAAATATTATATATACATATATATAAAAATATAATAATAATATATATGCATATAAACTATATATTATATATAAAATTCCAAACATTTCAAACACTAACTTTCAGTTAGCCTTTCCCTACTGGGTGGCTTGCTGCTATGCTTCCATGCTTCGATTGCGCTTTTAGCTTTATACATACTATATGCCTACGTACTTGAACGCCCTTTAAAATCATAAAGGTGCTCATTTTATCGGTCAGCCAAGCATGCCAAACAATTTTCTTTGCATTCATCTTACAACAAAAACAAAAAAAAAAATGTGTGTGCTTACAATATGAGCACTTTGCATTTTTAGTTTAACAATATTTTGTATATATGTATGCGTGCAACAAGTATTGCACATATGCTTTTTGATATACTCGCACCGCGATTTCATGTACAAATTCAGAGGTTATCAACACGACATAATTATTATTTTTAAGCAATTTCTATAATAGCTAATGGCCGCTTCAAAGCCATTTTGTATCAAGTTGACTGACTACTTGAAGCGTTTCGTTTACATGTGCTACATTAAGGCATCTTTAAAAATAGTCTAACACATTTTTGAGCATGTTTATACTAATAATAATATTGTTAAAAAAAAGCTTCACTTGAATGTAGCATAACTAATTGCCGAACTATTGCTGAATATTTTGGGGAGAGACTTGTATACTTTTTGGCTGCCGGACTGTCTCTAGCAAAGACTGCAATTCGATTCGAAACTAACTGACTATTAAGAGGCGACTAGCTATTTCAAACACATTTCTTTCAACGATAACCTTTCCTGCGATAACCTTTATCCAATTAGTGTTAGGGTTGCCAACTTCCGGTTAGTTTAACATAAAACCGGCGTCAGCTAAGTTTTGAGCTTGTTAGAGTTGATTCAAAGAGTTCTCACAAACTTTCAAACAAAATTTAAATTACTTCAAGTGTGTTACAGTTAACTACTAGCAATTTATTGCGAAGTGATTGTTTATAATGGGCACATCAAGGTTATCAAATTGCACGACTTATCGTAGCTCAAAAGTTATGTTGAATAATAACAACAAAAAGTTATTCAAATACTTATGATTTCTCTATCTCTTTGTTACCCAGCACTTTGTCATTATAAATATTGCTTAATGTCCGATTATTGAAAGCAATTAAAAGTTTAATGGACTATTAAGAGAATGAAAAAATATTTGCTGTCAAGATTAATGCAAGGATAAGGGTTGTCAATTAGCAAATAATTTTTATTTATTAAAATTCTTTTTACTCTTTAAGAAAAAAAAAATTATTTAAAATACAAAACAATAACAGAGGAAGCATTTCTCACAGGAGTTTTTGAATACATTTTGGTAGTAATTCCATAGACTAAATTAAAATTTTCGGGCGTTTAAATTAAAATACCAATAATTATTACGACAAAATAGGAAAAAAACGTCAAATTCGGTTACACCCTTTATAAAATAAAGAAATTTCCATACAAGAACTTGAATTTTATCGTTCAGTTTGTATGACAGCTATATGCTTTAGTAGTCTGATATCGGTATGTAGTATTTATGTATAGACAAACGGATGGACATAGGGTACCGCTGATTATATATATATAATATATAGATATATATGTATATATAAATATCGATAAGGTCTCCAACGTTTACTACAAACTTCGTGGCAAACTTTCTATACCCTGTTTTGTATATATTGTACCTCAAATATGGTACTATCATGCACTTTGAAAATTTTCAGCCCGAAGCTGCATGTCAAAAAACTTGTCTTCTAATATATTTTCTTCTTGCTTTTTTATTGTTTTAAAATTTTCTCTGTGCCTTCGTTTAAATTTAGTTTTAGTGGAATTTAAATTGTCCCTTTTCTTCCAGTTGCCAAACGTCAAACCTATCCGATCTAGTCAACAGTCAAAGTTGGATATGGTATTTACGTTTTTAACTGCCAATAATGTGACAGCTTTACAGCTCAACTTTTGCAACTTTTTAACTTTTTCTTAGTTTCGGACTATTGACATACCAGAGCAGGCTACTGAATGGTCTGAGTTCAATACATTTCACTCAACTCACTAAAGAGGCTTAGTGCGTTTAATTATTGATCTTTAGATTGCTTTGAAAATTTTTTTGCATGGACGTATACTCTTTATTGTGTTTCGAAATTAAATTTTAATACTCAAAAATATTTATTAACTTGGTTAGAAACAAAAAAGCAATCGATCAGCTGATTGTTATATGTAAGTGCAAACATCATTGCCAGACTCAATATACAAGGCAAAATGAAATGTTCATTAACTTATAAGGTTAGGATGAAATTCAAGCGCTCAAATGTGTATCCGTATTAAAATTTTCAGTAAGAGTATAATAACTGTAATGCTCATTGCGGAAGCCACAATAATTAAATCATATAAAATTTATGCAAAAATTAAAACATTTTCCTGCAATTTGCATTATTAAATAAAATGGCGCATACTAAAATATTTTCGCGTCCTTTTAATTGTGCCCAGCTTTTGCAAAGACTATTTGATTTCAAGGTAGATAAGTCGTCAAAACGCTTTAGGAACACACCAGTGACAATGATTGAAATATTTTCAAAACGGAAATGAGCGTCTCAAAGTTGTAGAAGAGCACGCTTAAATAAACACATAACACTTAATTTTAAATATTTCATTTGCCAGCGTAATACTACTTTTAATCGCACTAATAAATAGATAATGTCGCACACTGATTTCTATGTTTTTTGTTTTTAATTCGCTGCCACGCAAATTAGCGCAAATGCTCAGTGCGTTGTTAGCTTCCTGCAGTGAGCGTAGAAAAATGCAAGAAATAAATGTCAGTCGATTTAATTAGACTATGTCGTAACATTTATGCTTGCATACAAGTGAGGAATTGCCACTTATAAATTTTGCACTTTGCCATTTTTGCGTCATTAAGTTAGAAAATAGTGGCGTAGAGTTTTTAATGGCATTACTTGTTGAGCTACGCGATGCGATTCGCAGTAAATTTTTTGTTATTTATATATTTGGTTAGTAACATTGACTTTGTTTGTGTCTGTGTGCGTATGTATGTATGTACACAGATAAAGTAAGGTATTTGCACGCTCTTTGACCTTTTGGCACAAAGCTTTATAGTTAGACTGAAGACAGGCTTTATTTGTTAGTGCCGGGCAAAGGAATTTCTGCATAATCACCTTCTTGTAGTGGAATACGATTTTTAGTACGTTGTTCGCTTGACAATTAGTCCAAAGTTCACTCAAATATATATAAATATATTGGGCGGGTCAAGAAAAAACGAATGTTTTTTTCACTTCGTACTCTGAAAAATAATGTCTTAGACAACTCTTAGAAATTCTCTCCAAATATGAGCTGTTAATTGTAACGGGAAGGTCCGCGGCCTTATACTTGTAGTTTTTTTTTTCTTATTATCAGATAGAAAAATTCATATCTCGCTTTCAACTACTTGAAAAATTGTCTATTTCAGAGTACGAAGCAAAAAAAAAACATTCGTTTTTTGGTCCCCCCTAATATACGAGTGTAAGTAAACTCAATTTGTTGTTATTTTTA